CAGAGTTTCACTCTTGTTGCCCGGACTGGGGTGCAATGGCACAATCTCTGCTCACCGCAACCTTCCCCTCCCAGGTTCAAGCAATTCTCCTGCCACAGCCTCCTGGTAACTGGAATTATAGGCATGTGCCACAACACCCGGCTAATTTTGTATTTTTAGTGGAGATAGGGTGGTCAGGCTGGTCTCGAACTCCCGACCTCAGGTGATCCACCCACCTCTGCCTCCCAAATTGCTGAGTCTACAGGCGTGAGCCACCATGCCCACTGCCACCTATATTTTTAAGGTTGCTTGATATTTCTCTAAAATTGTTAAACATAGTATTTTGTGTATGATGTGTCCAATATCGGAAACACCCATCCTGCCACCACAAGAAAAGTTTTGCGCATGAATGAACCAATGTAGAAAAAAACAGAGCTAAGGCAAAGCAAGGCTAACTGCTGATTGAGGTCCTTAGATCCAGCTATTTTTGAAGACTTCTCAGTTTCACAAATCAATGATACTTAAATACTCTTTTTACTTAAACTATTTTCTGTTTCCATTATTACAACCAAAAGAATCCTGATTAATGCACAATGTGAATGATTTTATTCTGATTTTATGAAAACAACTTTTACAATTATACATTGTGCTTGGATAAATGCATGTGTAAACATTTGTTTGCAGTGGAGGATGTACACTGAAATGTTAACATTAGGTTTCTGTGGTGGATGAGTTTTAAGAAATGGAGACATAAATATCTTTTTCTTTGTACACCTATGCAATGTTTGACATGCAAAGTGTTTGTATCTTTTGTAATTGTTTAAATTCTACAAAAATTTTAAATGAGTATTGCATATATTTTGTGTTTTTCCAAATGTAAGATTTTATAAAGAGGAGAATGATGTAAGTGACCTGGGGGCAGTGGTGGTGGGGAGCTTATATTTGAAATTAGAAAAAAGTTTTGAACAAAATAATCATAATTATTAGCTGATGAAAAACCAGAAAAAATTTTCTGAATAAATTCTTGATTTCAGAAATTAACTATAATTTATATTGCTCTTAATATCTTACCCTTGGATATAAATAATTAATACCCTTTAAAATGTCCTTTTTTCTAGCTAACCTGATGTACATATGGCATTAATCCAATATACTTAGGAATAAGATACAGGGTTTTTCCTGAATGATTAAAATAAATCCCCATTCATGTTAAGAAAACAAAGTATTGGCCAGGCTCGGTGGCTCACATCTGTAATCCCAGCACTTTGGGAGGCCAAGGTGGGCAGATCACCTGAGATCGGGAGTTCAAGACCAGCCTGGCCAACATGGTGAAACCCCATCTCTACTAAAAATACGAAATTAGCTGGGCATAGTGGTGGGCACCTGTAGTTCCAGCTACTCAGGAGGCTGAGGCAGAAGAATCACTTGAACTCAGGAGGCGGAGGTTGCAGTGAACCGAGATCACTCCATTGCACTCCAGCTTAGGCAAAAAGAGTGAAACTCCATCTCAAAAAAAAAAAAAAAAAAAAAAAAAAAAGAAAACAAAGTATTACATTATTTCATGTTGATCTGGAAATTTCTCTTTATCAAATTCTAATTCTGAGTAAAACAAGAAAAGTTCTTATCATAATCTGTTTTGCAGTCTGTTTTAAATGATTACTTATTACAACGTTGGACACTTTTTTCCCCAGAGACAACTTTTATTTCTTGATTATGAATGTAACCAATGTGTCTCAACTGCCTAAATGATGAAAATCTTGATCTCATAATTTTATGAAAACACAATTTAGATACATAGGTATACAATATTTACATTAGCACTATTTAGTAAGATGGGCTTTTTCCCCTGCTGGAGGCTGGGGAATGAGATCAAGGGGAACACTGGTGACAGAGTACAGGGGAAAACAAACACTGCCAACTCTTGCCTTGGAGTGGCATTTCACAGTCTGAACCTTCACAGTATATTCCAAACCCATAAAAGGTCATTTGTCTCCTCTCACAAGTCTTTAATTCACTTGAGAGATGGGTTTATACAAAGATAAGGCCCCTGTGAATTGGTAGCCTGGCTTTGGAAAAAAGACACAGTAACTAAGGTGTTAGATAAACAGATGATAACCGTTTATTTAGAAGTCTCATAACAATGATTATTGTATTGATCATTTCTTCATAGCACATAATAGCTGCCTGGAAGTTCCTTTTAACAGAAAAAGGATCAGTTTCAACATAATTAAAAGTTGGAAATTATTTCCTTAAAGTTGGGTATATCAGATTGTTAGATTGTTTTTGCAAATCCATGTTTATAGGTAGAAATGGTCATGTCTTTCTGTAATTTATAGAAAAAGGGTATTTTGGCAGAATAGCATTTTTAATGTACCATGTATTAAATATTATCCATTAAAATTTTCAAAATGAAAATTTTGACAAAGGATAGTGAGTGAAAGAAGTAAACAACATGCTCTAAAAAGGCACAGTAGTATGTAAATAATTTTTATCTTGTAACATCCATCCCATAAGAGAGCATAATTGATTTTATTGATTTATAGTACAGTCAACGTTCTTGTAATGTAAAATTTAGCAGGTAGCTTAGACATTAAATTTTAAACTCAGAATCATCATCAATCTTTTATTTAGATCTGATAAGCTCCTGAGGTTGCTCCAACAGTGGAATCTTAATATGGTTCTCCCATATAGAATGATTCACCTTCAGAATATTATGTCCTCTTTTCCAACTATGTAAACTAATGTATTACTTATTGTAATGGAAATAACATACAACTACATTTTTTTCCACTTTGCATTGCAATAAGGATTATGTTGCTTTGACTAACAGCTTATACTTTTTTTCTCGGCTGTATTAACTCCAGCCAAGTCCTTAATTTTCATGAATAGAACTGAAAATGCTGTTCTTTTAATCCTCTGAGTTGAATTCTGGGTCATGCAAAGATTAAGTGAAGTGACTCCAAACCTAAAATCCTATAATTACAGAATGTCTGTTTAGATTGGTGCTTGGTCTTCTTTTTCCCTCTTCTAGATTGGGAAGAGAGCTTTCTGAACTGCACATTAGGAAGGCCTTGGCTTGTTTGTCTGTGGTAAAGCAAACAGCTTCGAAGAGGTCATCTATTTAGCTACCATTTGTTTTGTTTAATCTGAGATTAGGCCTAGGTTTACAAAAGAAATCCACTAAATTTAGAGTAAACAGAATTCTTTAAGACAGCATTGCTTGATGGTACTTTCTTCTTATAGCCTTTTCTGAGTGGTTTGTGATTAAGGGATAAAAAAGTGACTATTTTAAGCTCTGAAAAATGTGAGGACATAGTTTTGGAGGAAATAAGGGGTAAATTGATCAAATAACTTACTAGGAAACTTCTAAATGGCAGCCTATGTTCTTTAAATGATTTTTAAAGAAACTTGTAATAATTCTAAAGATCTACTGGCTGTTTTTAACCACTGACTGTCACCTACAGGAAGACCATGTGACTCGTTACTATAATGGCCTGCGTTAAAAATAAAAATAAAAAAACAGAGAAGAGAAGACTTACAACTATAATCTCATTTCTAATTGGACTATGGTGAAAAAGAAACTAGTCATAGCTGAAACTAGGGGCCAGGAGGGCTGCTTGCCTGTCCTGGGCAACCTGTAGTTGGCAAAACTCTAAATCTACATGTAGAGACCATTTTTTACGGCGAGTTTGGGGTAAATTGCGTAAAGTCTCAAAGGGATCTAATGCAGGACATTTCCTAGATTCCGAATTTGACACTTTAAGGAAGACTGCGATAGGTAATGTGACCTTCCACCTTAGAGATAGTATTATTCATTAATGAAGGGTATTCATTTAGTTTCGTTTTTATAACTCCAATAAACTTAAGAAATATGATGCCATATTTTTCTACCCGTTGCTTTATCTGCTTGGAGGGCCTGCCTGGAGCAGGCTGGTAAGTTGAAAGGAGTAAGGACTTGGCACCAGGCAGCTAGGTGTTCATATTTCAGCATCCACATTCATGAATTCAGTAGTTCATTAGTTCAGTCACTGGCTGGATGAGTGGGAGCATGAAACTTACGCTCTCTGTTTCCCCAGATGTGAAGTGGAATCAATAATAATTATATTGAGGGGATGTGAAGATAACGCAGTAACATATGCAGAGTGCCTAGTTCATACCAGATGCTTCAAAATGATGCTTTTCTTCCTCTTTCCCTTATGTCTGCCTGGTAAATCATCCATCTTTCAGATGGACTCAACGACTCTCTTACTGTCCAGCTCTCAAGTCCCTTCTCTTGCGAAAATGGAAAAGTTGAATTACAGTTAAGATATTATTCCCAGGTGTTCTTTGGAACACAAGGACTTCTCCAAAAGACACAGTACAAATTGCCTCCAAACAGACAAGATTCCAGCAGAAGCTGGAGTAGCAGACTACTTGGATCTTCGAAGTACCTGGTCCTGAGTCACTTAAGGAAGATCTTTTCTTCTCTTTTGTACAATACTATCATGAGGGCTGCAAAGTGAACTAAGAGCTTCCGCCTTGGTCGTTGACCTCCCAACCCTAATAATATCTTCACTGGCTAAACTTCCCAGTTGATTTGTCTTTTGGATATAATTTCCCTTCTGCTGTTTGCCTGATTGAGCAATCTGCTACAGAACATGACCAGTTAGCACTCCCACCAACCCCAGTGCTACACTGACTGTCTTTCGATGGACTTTCCTCCTTGCTGCCTCTCTGAGGTCCCAGACCTTCAGAGTGACCCTCATAGCTCTGCCCAAGTTTCTGTCATACTTTTATCAAGAGAGACAGCTAAATCAATAGTTTTAATGTGCTTTGCTACCAGAATTCAATCATCTGTCACAGTTCCTGCCCATTATACCCAATCATTATTGTTAAAATGTTTCTAGCTTTGTTTGCAGAATTGTTCTAACTGGTTGACTGATCCATTGCTGAGAACTACACTTTGATGTATAACTTTAGCAACATTTGACTATACTTTTACTATACTATTACTTACTATACAACTCAGAGCAATACTATTTTATGCTTGTGGTTAATCTAATTGCATAAATCTTTTGCAACTATTCTCTATTCTTTTTCTCGTAATTTCTACCTGGGAAGATTTTTACTGATAATCATCCTATCCTGAGTCACCCCACAAACCAATCTGTCTCACCAATCATTGCTTCTAACCTACAGACTAAGCATAATTTCCTCTAAATGAATAAGATGCTATGACTCTATAAAGTCTTTGATATTCATGTATAAATTTAATCACTTGTAGATTTTTCATAAAAATCAATCTTTCCCTTCTACAATTGGGAGTATTTATAAGTTGTTTATCTTAACCAATTCCTCTATCATGCTTCTCACATTAAATAAAGCAACCCCTTTGAATCAATTTTCTGTCATGTCTATGATGTTATTATTTCGTGGTATGGGTCAGGGGTCTACAAACTTTCTGTTAGACCTAGATAGTAAATATTTTAAGCTTTTCAGGCCATACAATCTCTGTTGCAACTACTCAGTTCTGCCATTGTAGCACTAAAGCAGCCATAGACAATACATAAATGAGTGAGCATGGCTGTGAGCCAATATAACTTCATTTATGAATGCTGAAATTTGAATGTCATGTAATTTTCATGTGTCATCAAGTATTACTCTTCTTTATTTAAAAGCCATTTAAAAAATGTAAAAACTATTCTTAAGCGTGTGGGCTGTACAAAAGTAGGCAGAGGGACAGATTTGCCTGGCAGCCATAGTTTTCTGACTACAGTATAGTTTATGGCCAGGAGCAGATTCAGGTTTTGTGGAGACTGAGCTCTTTGCAATTGTGGGGCCCTCTTTAAGAAATAGAATACAAAATTACAAATATAAAATTAGATACAGTGCTTTGGAAGAGACCCATGCAAATGAGAGGCCCTGAAAATTGAGCCTTTTTGGCATCCTGGTCAACCTACTTCTATTAACACTTGGACACTTTTGCCGCAAGGGTCCCTGACCTGTCTGATCACTGGAGTCACCAAGAGAGCTTTTCAAACTATAGGTTCCAAAGCCCCAACAGGCTGCCTGAATTAGAATCTCTGAGGATACAGCCTGGCAATCAGCTGTCTTATAAAACTCCCTAGGTAATTGTAGTGTGCACTCAGGCTTGGCAACCACTATTTTAGTAACCATTTTATAACATCAAACAAATTCACTTGAACTGGTATCACAAACACACTTGTTGGCCTTAATTGTGTTACTTACCCAGAAATAGCTTTTAACTATTGTTATTAACCCATAGCCCAAATGTTTACTTATCAAGAATAGGCTATCGTTCAATGACCTTAACAGAGAATATATAGATACTTTATGCTAGACCATTTATCCTCTTTCTTTTTAGTGAGAGTCAACTCATATGTAATAAAGTGGCTCTTCACCATTTGGACTCAGTTTGATAATATTTTATGTGTCAAATTTTATTTTTAAAACTATTGGTAATTTTTAAAAATCTTAACTCCTCTTTGAGTTGGTATACAATTCAGACAATCTATAAAGTAAATAAATGGCTGTTGAAGAACATCTGACACTTATGTTATCACAGTCGGGACAGTCAAGTTTATAAACCTAGATATAAAGGTAGCAGTTGAGCAGTTGAGTCACTTGTTATTGCCCAATTAATCATCAAATGTATAGAAGACTCTTTTCATATCCCTGTGAGTATTATGAAACCTTTGCAGTGTTCAAATTTAATATTCTTCCCATGATACTGAGATATCTTCCTGGTCAAAATGGAGTAGTTCTGTCTGTTAGAGTAGGTAGAATCTATTTTTGGCAAGATGTGAAACAATGTTACTTTTAGTAAACAAATGCCTTGTGCTTGCCAGCAATAAATCTCCAGTGTCAACTGAAAATTTCATTTTAAGGGTTGAGAAAAACCTGTCCCAACTTTTTCAAATTACCTTTATTAATAGGGACTTGAGAATTTCATATCCCAGAAAACGTGTAAATATCAATACTTCTAATTTTGTTCACTATTGAAAAGCAAAGCTACTTACTTTCCTGACTCAGAAGCACAAACAGGAAAGTAAAGCATACTTCCTGATGCGTTGATTTTAGCTGTTACTGGGGCAATATTGGCATAAATGGAAAATGAAGCTGCTTTTTCTCTTGTTCGGAGGTTTCATTTTTAGAAGCTAGGACAATATTATATCAAACTTGTTTCCTCCAACAAGGACTCCCACATCTAGCATTTATTCATTTGTTCATTCATTAATTCATGCAAATACTAAATGATTGCCCATAATGTGCCACGTACTGTCCTGGGTGTTGAGGACCTAACTCTGCAGCCTGAGAACTTAGGTTCTAATGAGGAGAGAGAAACAATAAGCAAGGGAATTTCATGTGATAGTATATGGTGTGTAGAAAGTAAAGCAGGGTGAAGCCAGGTGAATGTGTGTGTATGTGGGCATGGAAGGGGCAGGGGCAACTGCAGCTACTTTTTTCTTCTGTTTTTTAGAGGTGGGGGGGTGTCTCATTATATCCCCAGACTGGTTTCAAATTCAATTCTTTGGCTCAAGGGATCCTCTAGTAGCTGGGACTACAGGCAGGAGCCTACTTTAGATAAATGGTCAAAGGTGGTGGTGACATTTGATTTGAGATCCAAATGATGGAAAGGAGCCAGGCATTCATATGAAATGGGAGAGTTCTCTGATCCCTCTTGCAGGATGTGCAGCAGGGGTATGGCTCACATGTTTGGTCTCTGCCACTGCTCAAACCCCTGATGGGAGTGGGAGCATGCAGACGGGCAGGTACAGGAGCCAGGGCAAGTGCTTTGGGCTCCAGCCCTGTGGTAGTGTCTAGGGGTGAGTGCCTGTGCTCCCAGTGTTACAATGGTCTTTTAGCCTTACTGTCCACAGACAGCTTAAGTGTTAATCAGCTCAATGGACCATCTGATTTTTTGCAAGGGCAGAGGGCCAGGGTGACAACTTTCTATATCCTGAGCTCTTGCCCAGCATCCAGGAAGAATGCAGTCACACATGGGCTTGAAGGATGAATGTGGGGTTTTGTTGAGTGGTGGAGGTGGCTCTCAGTGGGATGGATGGGGATCTGGAAAGGGGATGGAGTGGGAAGATGATCTTCCCCTGGAGTTTGGCCATCCAGCAGCCAAACTCCTCTCTGACCTCCCAGCTGAACTCTCGGCATTCAGATGTTCCTCCTCTTTTTCTCTGCCATGCCGTTTGTCTGCTTGTCTCCTTGTCTCCTTGTTGGCTTGTCTGCTTCTGGAGCCTGGGGTTTGGGGTTTATATGGATACAGGATTGAAGGGCGTGGTGGACCTAAAGGTAACTTTTGGGGCACGAAAACAGAAATGACTGTTCCTACTTAGGGCTGAGAGTCTCCAGGCTTGGGGATGGGGCCTTTGCTGGGGAACTACCCTCTTCTATACAGTATTTCCCTATCTCCTGTCCATATCATATAGATCTTAGGGAAGAGCTATCTAGAGCTGTGCTGTCTAGCACAGGGGAGACTGAAGCTCTTGAAATGTGGCTAGTGTCAAATGTTGAAGTGATATTTTTGATATAGTTGCTGAGAGAAAACATATTACTAAAATTAATTCATCCAGTTGTTTTTACTCCTTAATGTGGCTTTGGAAAATTAAATAAATACATAGATGGTTTACATTATATTTCTATTGTACATCACTGATCTAGACAGGTAATCTTAATCTGGTTCCTGCACACAGGTCCCTAGGATCCTCATGGATTGGGTGTGTTATGAGTTTGAGCTAGGCTGGGCACAGTGGTTCTTGCCTGTAATCCCAGCACTCTGGGAGGCCAAGGTGGGAGGATTGCTTGAGACCAGGAGTTCAAGACCAGCCTGGGCAACAAAGTGAGATCCCCGTCTCTACAAAAATTAAAGAGTTTGAGCTAATAAAAACACTAGCTACAATGTACTGAACAGTTATGGTGTGCCAGGTGAGTGCAAAATTGCTTTACATCCATTCATTGTATCCTCATGCTGTTACTGGAAAGGGGTCCCGCTCCAGACCCCTAGAGGGGGTTCTTGGATCTCATACAGGAAAGAATTCAGGTCAAGTCCATACAGTAAAGTGAAAGCAAGTTTATTAAGAAAGTAGAGGAATAAAGGAGTGGCTGCTCCCTAGGCAGAGCAGCCCTAAGGGCTGCTGGTTGCCCATTTTTATGGTTATTTCTTGATGATAGCTAAACAAGGGGTGGATTATTCATGATTCCCCTTTTTAGACCATATAGGGTAACTTCCTGACATTGCCATGGCATTTGTAAACTATCATGGCACTGATTGGAGTGTAGCAGGGAGGATGACCGGAGGTCACTCTCATTGCCAGGTTGGTTTTGGTGAGTTTTAGCTGGCTTCTTTACTGCAGCCTGTTTTATCAGCAAGGTGTTTATGACCTCTTGTGCTAACCTCCTATCACATCCTGTGACTCAGAATGTCTAACCTCCTGGGAATGCAGCTCGTAGGTCTCAGCCTTATTTCCCCCAGCCTCGTTTATTCAAGATGGAGTTGCTCTGGTTCAAACGCCTCTGACAATACCACTGTGAAGTAAGTTCAAACGCCTCTGACAATACCGCCCTATTTTACAGATGAGGAAATGGAGGCTGAGGGGCCGAGTAGTTTGCCTAAGGTGACAGGACGCTGAAATAATGGCGCGAGAAGTCAAAACCAGTCCAGATCTTCCCATGCAAGACACAAGAAGCCACCGGAGGAAGGGGGAGGCGGGAGCTTAGAGCACCTTGGCGTGCCCAGCGCGGCCTGTGCCGCGCTCTCCTCTGCGCCGCTGGAGGCCTTGAGTTCGTGTCCCCTCGGCCCCTGCCAGGCTGCCCCGCCGAGGCCGCAGCGCCCTGCCAGGCCGACCTCCCCGCGCTCTTTCCGAGACCCAAGCCGACCCCCAGGACTACCCCGTCGCCCGGGCCCAGCTGTATCGGATCCAACCTGCCCGCGACCGAGGAGCTCAGGGCCTACCCCAGGTGATGCTGCCTAGCCCCACCGGCGCCCCGGCCCCTGCCACGCCTCCCGCGCCTGGAAAGCGCCACATCCCGCAGGCTGCATATCTGAGTCTGTGTGTGTGTGTGTGTGTGTGTGTGTGTGTGTGTGTCCCCACTGGAGCGTCAGAATCCCCCATCCCCACCTTGGAGGTCCCGCTTTTTCCTCCCTGCGGGGTTGCCTGCCTGGGCAGTCATCCAACTCTGTGTCCACCGCGGAGACAGTGGGGACAATGTGCCAAGACCCACCAACCAGGCTGGACCCTAAGATGCCCTGAACACGTGGGCAGCTATTCCAGATGCACCCTCCCATTTTTCAGGACGGCACTTGTTTCTATTAGAGATTTCTTGCAGGAGGTTGTCAACAGTCATCAGCGCTTTTAGGGGGAGCAAAGT